TAGAATATATATATATCACAAAAATTTTGTTTTAACTTTAAAACCGAATCACTCCAAATCTTCCGATCCTGGTCAGCTGGCACCAATTTAAACGTCCAAAATTACACATTTATTCATAAAAAACAGAATCTAAACAGTATCATAAACGATAATATAAACAGTACTATTAATAGGTAAACACATAACTAACAACTAAAATCTTCACAATCTCCTCCATTCTTTGTTCTTCACCAGCTGGCATTACGTGATCTCCCATTCTCTCTTCCTTCCTCAAGGAAAATTAATTCTTTATGTCCTAAAAATGACTGACATTTAGTATATTATATTTAAATTTATTTCTTCTTTTTTCTAACTGCTACAACAATAAGGAAGCAAGTTATCAATTTAATAGTAGTTTTTAACATGAGAATAATTATTTATGGGTTACCAAAATGGCGGGTCCAGCTGATTTGCAATGATGCTTTTAAATGCATTATTATGAATGCATCGTCAGTCTAGGTATTATTATATATATGTCATTGATTTTTCCTAGTTTATATAATGTAAATATTTATTGGTTTATTGTCTGAAGTACTTAATATTTATAAATTCATTAATCAGTTTTGCCAGTGACTAACCAAAAACAGAGTTATAAGTTAATTGACTTTTCGAATTCTGAAGGCAATTCAAAAATAAATTACTTCTAAGTAGATCTAATTCAAAATATATGGAATCTTATTATTTTACGATCTTTAATGATTCTATTGATTTTTATTAAATTTCATATACAAATATGATAAAATATTAGGGGGGACCAGTAAAATGTATTGAGGTTAAAACGGATCATCTTGTGGAATGAGACTGCCTATGAAGCTAATATAATTTGCCTTGTGTATCGCTATGGCGAGTCTTTGTCTTAAGAAGAAGCCTTCGCGGGGTTCACCGGTTAGTTGACGGATATGAGAGCCAAGTTCCTTGAAAAAAATGGCATATTTCCCAAAAGTTGTAATGGTTGTGGAAATGATGGGAATGAAAATATATTCTTGAGAGATTTCAGAATATTTCGTGATTTTGAGTGACTCCTTTCTCGAGAATATTAAAAGTTTGGTTTGATGGAACAAGTGGATCAATACAAGAGTAATCCCAGACCAGGAATTGACAACGCTTCCAAGGAATTTGAGAAATCCCGTCAGGCCGTTTCCCATCAGATCTGAAAAAACCGGAAGGTTCAAGAGTAGAGGGGATATGAGCAGATCTCACAGCTCTAAGGATAATTAAATTGGATAGATTATGTCTAACGATTAGACCTTTACACGAGCGACAGTGAAGGCTATGTCTTCCATTACCTAAAACGGCAGAACTGCAACCTGAACATGTGTGGGGTTGGGTAATTAGACAATTTAATCGAATGCCGATCGCGTGAGCAAGCTCGTTTTGATTCAGTTGTAATTGAAGATTAACAGACGGAATAGATTCAAGAAACTCATGACCTGAACCATTAAGCAGTGAGGAGAATAAGGGACGGTCAGATAATTCCATTCTGTAAAGGAGTGATTCAACGCAGAATGCAATAATAGGCCTATCCCAGTCCTTCTGCTTATACGATTCAGAAAGAGGGTGATCCGCAATAATTCGAGACTTCCATTTGTTGATAGCATTATTATAAGACGAGTCGGGTTTTAAAGAATTAGAATTTACTATGTTTTTAGTTAAAAGACAACTGGATATGAAAGCTGTTAAGGCGAGATCAGACGGAGATCTGAAGCCGAGACCTCCCATCTTAGTGGGTAAAGAAGCTTGTGTCCATACTATTTAATCAAATTTAAGATTAAAAATATTTTCGATAAGGACTTTGATCCCATTTTCATAAACTCCAAGAGGAATGGGGAATTTAAATATGGCGGTTGAGTGAAGTGCTTAAAGAAAACGTGGAATATTAATATTTCACAAGGAAAAAGCTTTATGAGAGCGAAGTAAGGAGAATAAATCTGCCAACTCAAATAAGGTATCCAGAGTGGACTGAAGGAAGGAAGATATAGCATAGTTACAACCAACAGGGGCTCCCAAATGATGACATCAAGAGTCGTTAGTTTAAATTTATTTGAATTAGGTTCGATAGTAATGATAGTGATAAATTCAAATTTCTCTGGATTAATGGAGGGTCCAATAGCAGATCCGGCCTCCTTGACAATATTCCCGGCTTTATTGACCTCAGCATTGGATCCTCCAAGTACCATCATCAATGTACCAAGAGTGCAAGGATAATGAGCAAACCGAATTAATGGATTTAATGATGTCATTAATACCTAAACAAAAGAATAGGGAACCAAGAGGGTCTCCTTGTTGAATGCCCTCAATGGAAGGAATTTTAAAGGTATCAAACTGAAGAGTGGAGGGCTGTTGATAACACGAATAGAAGAACTTAGTGTAACTGGGAAAAAGATTACTTGAGGAGCTCAGGAGGGAGTTCCGGGAAAGTGTGTTGTAAGCATTAGAGAAGTCAATTTTAATTAAGGATTCATTAGATGGTCAAGATATAATCTGGTCATATGTACCACCGCTTCACAGCCACCAGGTATTCCAACACCAAGTTGGAAGGGGCTTAAGAGACATGAAGCATCATGCTTAATTCGAGATGACATCATCTTGGCAACTAAACGACGAAAGATAGAACCAATGGTAATAGGTCTGATATCATTATTAGGCTTTTGAAGTGCGATTAGCCTAGCACCAAAGAGGATAGGTGAAACAAAATTTGGAACATCACCGTTTAGAATTTTGTTGCAGAAGTTTGTTAATATGGAAAGAACGAATGTTTGTGAGCATGTAGAGGGGGAAGTGATGTCCTGGAGAAAAATGGGGCATATGCCCTCGAGTTCATGAGCAGAATCGCGATGAAAGGAAAGAATAGCTTTCCTCACTTCTTCTGAAGTAAAAAGAAAGGCACAAGTTGAGTGAGATTGAGGGGAAATTGGGATAATGTTAGCTGTGAGGTGTTTTTGACATAACTTTAAATACGTGGACATAGGGCTCAGCCAAAGAATCTGTGTGGACACCAATCTGAGTGCTCCTTTAATATTAATATTGTCAATTTTCTTGTAGATCAGATTGGTCTTCAACTCTATTGGTGAGTGTCTTCTTATGTTTAAGACTGCTGTGAAATTTTGTTTTCATGAAGATGAGTCTTCAAAGAGGCAGCATCCTTGATTTGCTGAGTAAGATAAAAAAAAATGTTTTTTGATTAACTCTTTAAAAAATATAAATTATATCAACAATCTGCAAAAGGTTCGCGATAAAAGTTATAATATGTATTCACTTTAAAGTATTCGCCGAAAAATATGCGATATTGTCTTCGCTATAAATGTTTTGCGGAAAATAATTAGCGAAATTGGTTTCGCAATATTAGCTTCGCTATTAAATCCCTTCTCAATAAACGACATTCGCTGAATTGACCTGATACGAAAATGAGTATATGAATATTAAATACTCCATTATACGATTTTTTCCCAACATCTTCAAACTGATTAATCGACATTATTTTAATTTATTTAAAAAGCGGCTCTTCCATGTCATTTTTTTTCACTTTTTATGAAAGATGACTTCAGAGCTATCCTTGATGAAGCTGTAATGGAAATCTATCAGGATAGGTGTTGACTTAAATGCGCATGTGGGAAAAGCAAGAGACATCTACAAAAAGCATCATGGTGTTTTTGGATATGGAGAAAGAAATATACTGAAATTTTCGCAAGCCTTCGACCTTGCCTTAACCAACACTTACAAGAAAAGACAGTCATTTAATAACATATGAGATGGAACAAGGAAAACCCAAATAGAATACATGCGTATCTCTCGCAGTAGTTGTGGATTTACATCTCACTCCACTCAAAACAAGATAAAACTTGAACCATGCCTCAAATGGGGTAGATTAAAATCAATGAAAGATGCCTTTGCAATCAATGCAAACATTGAAACAATAGATTATTCACAAGTCAGTGAAAAATGTGGACAGACCTTTCATCCAGATTAATAGCACTAAATCGACACTAGGATTTACAAAAGAGGCTGGTGGTGGAATGAAGAGGTACAAACCACTATACAGGAGAAAAAAGCCCTATACAAAATATGGTACAATCCAAAAACCCAGATGACAAGATAAATTACAAAAAATCCAAGAGAATAGCTACAAAGGCGGTGGCTAGGGCCAAAGCTATGGCATAATATGATATGCATGAAGAACTACATACCAAAGAAGGGCAAAATAAAATATACAGATTAACCAAACAGCGAGAAAAGAATTCTAAGGATATAAACGGAGCTCATAAAGTAATCAAAAATAAAGATGGGAAATTGATAATAAAGGAAAAAGTAATAATGAATAGATGGAAAGTATATTTTCAGGAGCTTCTCAACTTTAATCCCCACATACTACATCTAGATGAACACTCCCCATGTCAAAACCTTATACAACCAATAACAGAACAATAAATAATCACATGCCTCAAGCATATGAAAAACAACAAAGCTAGGGGTCCAGATGATATTCCAATAGAAAGCCTTAAAGCACTAGGAGATGATGGAATACATTTCCTCACAAATCTGTACAATAAAATACTGGGAAATGAAGAGATTCCTCAAAAATGGAGGCAGAGCTTCTAGTTCCTATCTTCAAAAATAAAGGGGATCCACACAATTGTCAAAATTACAGGGGCATAAAACTAATGTCACACTGTCTAAAACTATACGAAAAAATAATAGAAAAAAGATTAAGAGATATAATCGAAATAGGAGAGACACAGTTTGGCTTTATGCCTGGAAGATCAACAACCGATGCTATCCATGCAATTAGGCAAATGAGTGAAAAATACAGAGAAAAGAACAAAAAGCTACACATGGTCTTTCTCGATCTAGAAAAGGCCTTCGATAGAATCTTAAGAAAACTTATCTGGTGGGCGCTACGCCACAAAAAAGTTCCCGAAAAATATATAAGAATAATACAGGATATGTATATGGGACATACAACAATGGTCCGTAACACAACAGGTACTTCAACAGGCTTCACGATAGCCGAGAGAGTTCATCAAGAGTCGGCTCTCAGCCCATTTCTTTTCATAACAGTAATAGATGTATTGTCACAGTCTATACCTCAAACAGTCCCGTGGAATATGATATTTGCAGATGATATTGTGATACTTGGCGACCAAGGAATGAAAGAAAGATTAGTGAGTTGGATAAATATCCTAGAAAAGCATGGACTAAAAGTAAATAGAGAAAAGACGGAGTATATGGTGATAGGAGGAGATAAAACAGAGAGCATAGATATAAATGAATTCCAGATATCGGCAATTTAAAGATGCAAATATTTGGGCTCCACTTTACAAACAAACGGCACAATAGATAACGAGATAAAGAGTAAAATTAATCATGGTTAAAATGGAGATCTTTATCTGGAGTGCTATTTGACAAAAGAATCCCACACAAATTGAAGGGAAAAATTTACAGTTTCAAGTACAATCAACTATTCTATATAGTTCGGAAACATGGCCAACCAAAAAATCAGACGAGAGAAGTCTAAACTATGGATATGAGAATGCTGGATTGCTGGGGTATCAAGAAAGGATAAGGTGCGAAGTACTAAGGAAGTTTAAAGGTAGTGCCTATTAGATTAAGATAAAGGTGAACAGACTTAGGTGGTATGGGCACACAATGAGAAGGCCTATAAACTACATAGGAAATAAGGTTGAGAGTTTGGAAGTGATGGGCAAACGTAAAAGAGGAAGGCCAAAACTTCAATGGGGCCTTAAAGTTAAAGCCAATATGAAAAAGTATAAATTAGATATAAGAGATAGTATGAATAACATAAAGTGGAGAGAGATATTGAAAGAGCTTACCACCAGAAAAGGTGAAAGCTAAAGAGAGAGAAAAAAATTATTTTTATTAGATATAGAGTGGATTCCATATCATAATACGGAAAAGTAATTATTGTGGGGAGAATAAAATTTTCAAAAAAATACAGCCCAAAGGAAATGAAGAAATGAAAGATTTATGGAAAAATTTATATTTAAAAAAATTAGAGCCCTTTATATTTGTATATATTTTATTCCTTTATACTTTTATATTTGTATAATTCATTTATTTTTATTAATTAATTCGTCGACTTTTTAATATCGATTTATTATTTTGCTGCAACAAAATATATAAACATTTTACCTTCGTTAAATTTTATATTCTTAATTTCGATATCACAAACCTAAAAATGTTATCATCTATAAGGAGAGGAGTAAAAGTATAAATAAAACAAATAAAAGTAACTTTATTTTTTTCAGGTCTTATATATTTGTGAAAATAAATAAAATTTATTAATAACCTAAAATAATATATTAAATTAACAATCTAATATAATCTCTGTAATCAAGAAGTGATAACTTTCTTATCATCTTAACGTTAATTTTATTTTATCTCAATTTTCCTATCATCATAATGTTATAAAATCGAGTAATGTTTTTCGATCTAAAGGCCCGACCGACCCGGCAAATTCGAGTTCGAAATAGGATCGATTCGAGTTCAAATTCGAATAAATATGTGTAAACTTCAATATTCTTCAGATTAAGCTAATTTTTCAATGATTTTATCAGTGCTTGATATTAATTCCCTATATATATACAATAAGGAAAAACACACATCCAATCTATCTTCAGTGATAGTACTTCATAGTAATGTTGTAAAACGAATTTGAATCGATTTTTAAAACAGCTACCGTATATATTATCCAGAAAAATATTATACAAATCTAAAGATTTTACTCATAGATAGCATAAAAGTTTGAACATCTATTAACGAAATCTCCAGGCTTAGGCAATATTTGGGTTTTTTGGCTCAAATCGAGCCATTTAACAGCACTAATTCTCATGTATGTTTTTAAGAAAGAAAGAAAGAAAGTTTATTTTTAGTTAGAATGAAATGAAATGTGGAATTTATGGTTTCACGGGCAATAGAATAATTCTTCGTACAAAAACAATAATTTCTTTATTCAATATAAAATAAATTCACAATTTTCGTATAAAAATAATAATTCTTTTATTTAATCTATACAATTAAATCCAAAAACTTTCGTATAAAAATATATTTCTTTTATTTAATTTACAATTAAATCCAAAAAACTCTCGTATAAAAATATATTTCTTTTATTTAATTTAAATAAAATATCAAAAACTTTTTCATTAATTAAAATCATCATCTCTTTTTCTCTTTTTCCTTCAAACATAATAATAAAAACAAACATTATTCATTTTAAAAAATACACAACACTCTCCAACATCAATCACCAAATCTCTATCATATACTCACATCTCCCCTCCTTTACATTCCTCTCTCGGCCTCAGATCTTGATGCCTGCAATATACTATTCCATTGTCATCTTTAACCTTGTATTTCACACTACTTATTATTTCTTCCACCTTGCCCATCGTCCATCGTTCTATTGAACATTAAAATATACACTTCTTGTCCCAGGCAAAATTTACTAGATTTCACTACACCTCCAACCTTTTAATTTCCTCCTTCCTTTAACGAATCCAACATTAAAAATGTCTTTCCTCGCAAAAATCTTTCTGCCCGGGACCCATCTTGATTCCTCCTCTTATTGTAAAACAATTGCGACAACCATCTTTCACCATCACATACCTCTCCTTTTTCAACCACAATTTCACCACTGCAACCATTCTCTCGGCCTGACCATTGGAACTGGGATGATTTGGAGGCGTTATAACATGCTTTACACCGTGCCTCTCACAAAACATCTTAAACGCTACACTTGTAAACGCTGTACCACCATCCGTTACTATCATCTTTACCATCCATAATTTACAAAAAGTTCCTTTCATTTTCGTATAACTATAACTGACGTTAATCCCGACACTTTTGAGCAATCGATCCTGGAAAAAGCATCCACTATAAGGAAATAATACTTTTTCTCCAATAAAATCTAAATGTATCCATTCACATGCCTGTGTAGTTTCCTTCCAGCTATCACCCTTCCTCCTTCTAGGTAGATTTGACCAAACATTACAAGTTAAACATTCTCTACAGACCTTGGCAATATCCTTCTACATTGACGGCCATCATACATATTCTCTAGCCCATTGTTTCATTCTACTTACTCCTTGATGTCCCGCATGCAACATTTTGACTACTTTATCTCTCAATCTTCTCGGTAATATAGTTCTATTGCCTCTCACCAAACAGTCATCTATAATTGCTATTTCTTGTTGCACCAATCTGTATGGATTATCCGTCCTTTCCCAATTTTTTTCGCCTATCATTCATTGCTTGATTTTTTCCATCTCCTCATCCTTTATCGTACTTTGTTTTATTTTTTGCCAAGTCACTGGACCATTCCTGAAAAATAACTTCCTAATCGCTCCATTATCATAATTATCCTCATCGTACACTATTTCTTCCTCGATACATAATCTAGATAACACATCTGGCAAATGATTAACGTACCTCCACATTAAAATTTCCAACTAACAACAACCACTTTTGCAGTCTAGGAGACAGCATCAATTCCATGTTGTCTTTTTTGAATAGATACATTAACGGCTTGTGATCGGTATATATAATGAATCGGCGCCCTATCAGATACTCTCTGCATTTCATGAGCCCAAATATAACCGCCAACGATTCCTTTTCAATTTTCAATAACCGAATAATGCTCCTCCACTGGTCTGAACCTTCGCGAAAAATATATAACAGGCCTTTCCTCCTTGTCCAATATTTGTAAAAGTGCTTCTCTCACTCCCCTTGCAGAAGCATCCACTGATAAAATCACCTCCAAATCATTATCAAAACATAGTAAAATGGGTTTTCTACATATATTATCCTTCAACTTGTTAAAACTTCTTTCCTGAATTTCCAACCATCTGAATGTATTATCTTTCAACAAGTCATATAATGGAGCGGCTATTTCTGCAAAAGCTTCAATAAATCGATGATAAAAATTTATCATTCCCATAAACGACTGCAACTCCTTCTCGTCCTTTGGCGATCGCATATTTTTTATACCTTCAATATTTTTACTTAATGGCATGACTCCTCTGTCTTCTATTATATGTCCTAAATATATTACCCTGGTGACTCCAAACATACTCTTTTTCTCTATTTGCACGCAATCCCCTCATCTTGATAAGTTGTAATACCTTCTCTAATCGTTTATTATGTTCTTCTATGGACCTCCCACTAATCAACAGGTCATCCATATAATAAAAAATTCCCTCTTTTCCTTGAAAAATCGAATTCATTGCTCTTTGAAAAATTGGCGCCAATACACTTAACCTGAATGGTAACCGCTTAAAGTTGAATAATCCCTTTTGCGTCGTTATAATCAACAGTTTACTGGTCTCCTCGCTAACTTTTAACTGTAGATATGCATTAGCAAAATCCACCTTTGAAAAATACCTCGCCCCTTTTAGACTAGCTAAAATTTCATCGATTCTATACAGCGGAAAGTTGATCTACTGCACCCATTGATTTATCGTAATCCGGATATCAGCACATATACGCAGAGTACCATTCGGTTTTCTAATAGGTACTAGCGGTGTCGCCCAATTACTATTATCAACTGACTCTATAATTCCCTCCTGCACCCATCTGTTTAACCCTTTTTCTATATCATCCCGCCATTCAAAAGGAACTCGACTAATTGGACAATATTTAGGTATCGAATTATCTCTCAATTTTATATCACCTCAAAATGGTTTAATGTACCCAGTTCCTATAATAATCTCATTGTAGCGTATCAATAATTCATTCATCTCTTGTATATATTTATCTTCCAGCACCTTATCTGCTTCCTTCACCACATTATTGTCATTTATTACTATTATTTCATTTCTTGTTCCCCATTTCAATATCTTCTCCAGTATCCTTTTTTCATTAATTTCCCTTAAACCCCTCTCCTCTTCAGAATTCTTATTTATATTATCATTATTTGTGTTATTTATTTTATCATTATTTTCATTATCCGTTTCCATAACACCATCATTATTTTTGCATATTTTTACTTCATCGGTATCTTTGTTATATTGTTCATCATATATTCCCTTTACTCTGTCATCTATATTTAAGAATTTTTCCTCACTACAATTATCTTGAGAATGGAAATAAGCTAACTTATTTTTAATGTTTCCATGGCAAAAGTTTCATTATCAGGCATACTAAAATTATTATTATTTAGTACCTCCTTCAATTCCGAACATACAAAATCCTTCATTACTTTTATACCCTTATTACAATTAACCTCATCCTCTAATTTATTATTACCCCGATTATTATCTCCTTTGTACAATTTATGTACACATATATCTCGGAAAACCATTAATATTATAATTTTCCACTTTTATTTTATCTATTTAATCTTATATTTATTAACCTCCTTATTAATACGATTTTTAACATGTTCATCGTCAACATATTTCTTAATAATATTACCATTATTATTTTTTTTATTCACACAATTTTTACCAAACTTCTCCTTACTTTTTTGTACCTTAACCCCATGCATTACTTGGACCTAGAATCTTAATATTATCCCATCCTAATATCGGTTCAGTTTTCTGGGTGGTCAACCATAATTTAACTACTATCTATACCTGGTACTTTTATTACATAAAATCCTGGAAGGGTGATAGCTGGAAGGAAACTACACAGGCATGTGAAAGGATACATTTAGATTTTTTGAATGGGAGAAAAGGTATTATTTCCTTATAGTGGATGCTTTTTCCAAATAAATCGATTGCTCACAAAAGTGTCGGGATTAACGTCAGTTATAGTTATACGAAAATTGAAGGAATTATTTGGGAAATATGGAATGGTAAAGATGATAGTAACGGATGGTGGTACAGCGTTTACAGGTGTAGCGTTTAAGACGTTTTGTGAGAGGCACGGTGTAAAGCAAGTTATAACGGCTCCAAATTATCCCAGTTCCAATGGGTAGGCGGAGAGAATGGTTGAAGTGGTGAAATCGTGGTTGAAAAAGGAGAGGTAAAATGATGGTGTAAGATGGTTGTCGCAATTGTTTTACAATAATAGCAGGAATCAGGATGGGTCTCCGGCAGAAATTTTTTCCGAGGAAAGACATTGTTAATGTTGGATTCGTTAAAGGAAGGAGGAAATGAAAAGGTTGGAGGTGTAGGGAAATCTTCAAAGGAAAATTCCGATGGACGATGGGCAAGGTGTAAGAAATAATAGGTAGTGTCAAATACAAGGTTAAAGATGACAATGGAATAGTATATTGCAGGCATCAAGATCAATTGAGGCCGAGAGAGGAATGTAAAGGATGGGAGATGTTGTATTTATGAGCATATGATAGAGATTTGGTGATTGATGTTGGAGAGTTTTGTGTATTTTTTAAAATGAATAATGTTATTTTTATTATTATGTTTGAAGGAAAAAGAGATGATGATTTTAATTAATTAAAAAGTTTTTGATTTTTTATTGTAAATTAAATAAAAGAAATATATTTTTATACGAAAGTTTTTTATTTTTTATTGTAAATTAAATAAAAGAAATATATTTTTATACGAAAGTTTTTGGATTTAATTGTGAAGGGGTGTGGGAGGAGCACTTTTACAAATATTGGATAAGGAGGAAAGGCCTGTTATATATTTTTCGCGAAGGTTCAGACCGGCGGAGGAACATTATTCGGTTATTGAGAAAGAATCATTAGCGATTATATTTGGGCTCATGAAATGCAGAGAGTATCTGATAGGGCGCCGATTCATTATATATACCGATCACAAGCCGTTAATGTATCTATTCAAAAAAGACAACAAGGAATTGATGCTGTCTCCTAGACTGCAAAGGTGGTTGTTTTTAGTTGGAAATTTCAATGTGGAGGTACGTTATAGACAGGCGCGTAACCAATGGGGGGGGGAAAGGGGAAATTCCCCCTCCCATCGCAAATTTGACTGTTTTCTTAAATATCATTTTAAGCTAATAAAAATTTTACCATCCACCCCCTCCCCCCCCCCAATCAAAATTTTACAAATATTTGAATAACAATTTTCCAACATAAAACTTATTTTTTATAAATATATTTTATTAAAATTTCCTTTCCTTGTGAGTACATTAACATTATTCGAAAATATTAATAAAATGGAAAAATTTTAAGTAAAAGAGATTGAAATCAAATGGTAATTTAGTTTATTAATATATATAATTATTTTATTAAATTCAAAATTATTAGTAAGTTAGAATTAATAAGTATTTTTAATATTAATTATTAATAAATATCTATAATTTTTTAAATATTTTATTTTTACTTCGATTTTGTAGAACAGAAGAAATAGAACAAAAGTTAAATAAGGCTATGCATGAAAATGTAATGTGTCGTCAGAAGCGATATCATTATTGAATTCAATTGATCAATCAGAGTTAATCATTGCTGCTAGTTACATCAATAAATTATTTTCCTATAGCTCACTACTTTGTAGAAATTTACTTTACAAAAACCAAATTTTGATTTGGTTCAGGTTATTGATTTGGCGGAAAATATATATGAACAGGTAGATACAATAAGAATGAATGTAGATGAATATTTTCATAATATTTATATAGACGTTGAATCGAAGGCTAAATTTTATGATATAACACTAATTAAACCTCGTCTAGCACCTGGGCTATTATTGAGATGTAAAATAAATATTGGCTCAACTGAAGAATATTATAAAATATCCACTTTCATCCCATTCTTAGATACTTTTTTATCGCAAATAAAAGTACGGGTTTTAGATAAAAAAAACATGTCTTTAGCAATCTTCAAGTTTTAATACCCAAAGATCCATCTTGGTTTTCTAATGCCACTATTGGTAAAATGAAATATTTAGCAAAATTTTATTCCTATGATATTGATACTGAAATAAATTTAATCAGTGAATTCGAATTGTGGTATAAATATTTACTACGTTTAGCTATTTTACCTGAGAATGCTATTGATGCGCTCAATCGGTGTAGAGAAACCTTGGCTCAAATTCCTAATATTTTGAAGTTGTTTTATATTCTTGCATGTTTGCCTATTATAACAGGTATGAATGTAAGGACTTTCCAACTTAAGAAGGTTGAAAACATATTTATGAAGTACTACTTCCGAATCTCGGCTAAATGGGTTAGCTCTGTTAAATATCCACAGAGATTTGGTTCCAACGACAAACAAAATTCTTGATGAATTGGCAACATTCCCACGAAAATTAAAAATCACATTATATAATTATAGTATTTAATAAAAAAATTTGTATAATACTCTATTTGATAAGAAGTTTAAAAAAACTTGTTTTTTAAATTATTTTCTAGTCAATATTTTCTAGTTTTGTTAAACGCCTCGTTTTGAGCCGATTTTTAAAAACGGCTAACTCAGTTATTTATCCAGAAAAATATTATGCAAGCCTGAAAATTTTGCTCATAGAAGAAGCAAAGGTCTAGACATATAGTATCGAAATTTCGAGGCTTAGTTAATATTTTGGCGAAAATATTGAGTTAGCCGTTTTTAAAAATCGGCTCAATATAAGCAGTGAATGCGTCTAATGAAAATATAGGAGGATCTTTGTTGCAAACGATTGATAATGTTTAGAAACCGATATTATTTTATCCAGATTTAATAGCGCTGAAAGAAATTATTTAACCATTGAAAAGGAAGTTCTAGCAGTTAAGTTTAAATTAACAAAGCGCAATGCAAAGAATATCTGATTGGATTTATTATACGCGGATCATAAGTCGTTAGTTTATTTGTTTAAAAGGACAATAAAGAATTAATGATTTCACCCAGACTTCAAAAATCGTTGTTATTGGTAGGTAACTTCGATTTTGAAATAAGGTTCAGAGCGGGTAAACTAAATTGTTTATCAGATATTTTATAAAGGCTGTATGTCAAGGAAATAGAAAAAAAGAAAATAGATCCCATAATAGTAGTTTAGAGCAGTTTTTCTTAGAAGATGAATTAAATAATAAAATTATAAGATCTATGAAGGTAGATACAAGAGAAAAGTCGATAATTTTTAAGTTAATCAATAAGGTATCTGTTAATATATAATTTGAATATTTTTACTTTGTAACTTATGACCTTTTGTAAAAAATATTTTCTTTTTTTAATAA